AATGAAAATTTTCAACATGATTCCTTCCAATCTCAATGGATTACTCGGAATACTTCTGCTCTTCTCAGAATATCATAAAAAAATCATCTGCGTTAAAGAAAGCGATCAACATTGTATTGATTTTAGATATTGTCATCTTCATTTTGATCAATTTTGTTTCCCCTGAGAATCCATGTTTGAAACAAAATTCCCTTGAGATCAACTTCAGGTTTGTGTGTGTGAAACCAAAATATAATATTTCAAAAAATGTGAATCGGGAATTGGGTTTGATCTGAAACAACATTTGACAACAGCCCGCTGTTACATTACGAAAATTTTTACAAGGGAATATCTAACGAAATTCATACAATGAAAAAATCGCACAAATTAAACATGTTAGTTAACTAAACTAAAGTTAAAAGTGATATATTTACAAAAAAAAATGGCAATACTTGCGACCTTCCTGTCGAAGATTTTTCCATCAACCGGAGAGCCGGAGATTCCAAAGCCGGAATTTTCGACTAAAAATCACAGCAATGACAACCGTAGTGACACTGTCATGGCTTTATATGTATATCGAACAATACGAACGAATTCTTTTCTAAGGCCACGTATCAGCTTTATTCATTGTTTTATGTTACAAAACATTTAATATTTTATATTTGTGTTAAATCTTTGGTAACTCTTAAGTGTAAGTTGTTTATTTTTGAGAGAACGTAATTATAGTCCATTAGTTACGCATTTTTAGCCCGGTCGTGTCATCAATGTCGGGTAATGCAACATTCTGTTTCAAGCCCGACGACAAGTTTGCGCGTAAAGTGCAAAAAAGATCGGCTTGCATGTTTCAGTATGCGTAAACGGACCCGTCCGCACCCTTACTAATGGCACTGGCAAAACACGAAAACGTTCGTAATGCACGGCCAAATCCGTAAAAAGTTTATAGGACATAATCACCCAGAGAAAGAAAATTAAATTTAATATCGGATAATACGATATCGCTTAAATTTATCATTTGCATTATAAATCTCTAAAATATCTTTTACTTTCTCAAAAATTTAACTACGGTGAATTTCAATCTAATATTTAAACGTCTACTTTTAATTTGAGAATTAAAACATTGTACTTTAGATTAAAATAAAATTCTATGCAAAACTATTTATAAAATGTCTGAAACATCGTATTCGATTAAAAGTTATATGCTTGCACTTTTTATTATCGTGTAACAAAGTCATCACAAATATACGTCACAGATTGTGGAATTGCATGTTTCTCAAAAGATTACAGAAATATTTTTTGATATAAGTTGGCATGCCACCTCCACGTGTTTTCGCATGCAAGTATTATATCTCACGACAGAATTTAATGAGGTCTTCCCTGCAGGCGAGAAATATGGTAAATTCTGTTTTAATTTTAACAGCCTGATGAAAATTATCTCTTCGATATTTTATCTCTTTATTTAACAACATAATTAATTTAATATTTTTATTTCTACACGTCAAACACACTCAGGCTCTCCTTCCATCAGCCTACCAGATATTCAAATGCAGATGTAATTATAAAATACGTGCACATTTTATAAATTTTTAAGCTTTGTTATAAATTTTAGTTTTTAATTCAGAATAATTTCCAAATAGATAAGTTCAGAAGTAATAAAAAATATCACTTATAGAAAAAAAATTCACATATTAGTTATATTTAGATATCTCTTTCTTATATACAATGTTAGATATCAAAGAAGTAAAATGGTAATTTTTAATCCTATAAGTTAAATAATATTTTTAACTTTTATATGTATTAAAATCTATTTATATAAATCAATCCACTTCTGTGATCAGTTTCAAAGTAAAGAACATTTACATTAACGTGTGCACTTAGTAAATAATAAATCAAAAATTTAGTGAAATTTAATATATTTTCTTGCATCCATTGTTTAATTTCATTAATTTAGTTAAATTAACGATATATTAAGAAGAAGCAGTAGCGACATATAGAAATGATAAAAATAAATAATTCAAACTGAATATAATTTGACATTCTAAATTTAACAGTACAGATTTTGAACTTCGGGGTTTAAATCTTTAATTAGAATATATACATTAATAATTAAATACATTGTAACTGTTCATGCAAGAGATTACGTCACACTTTTTAAGAACGCACTTAAGAATGCACACCTAAAAAGTTTACATTCCTATTCTCTACGAGAATGGAGGCGAGCAAACTTCACAGGTTACCACGTGCATTTCCATTCTCAATACATACGTGTGCGAACCGAGCCTATAAGCTTGTGCAAATGTGAATACATGCGCGTGTCAATGTGCATAACACTTGGTATTACTGCACATCAGCGGTGCAGCGTGACTGCGCATCCGTTTGCTTAGCCACGACTGTTAATTTCGTCGGCATATTGGGCATATTTGAGCGTGTATACGGTGTCTACCGTCCAACGTTAAATGATTGGCCAATCCGAGAGGTTAAACATTGACTCTGTCGCGGGTGTCCGTACATACAGTTGTTCTTGTGCCACCTTCCACTCACTTTCTCTCTCACGTTGGCGTTACACACGAAAGTGATTGTCACACAGTAGTTATTTATGCATTTACAACAATTGCTAATATTGAACGATATTCTCGATGAATCCTAAAGGGCGAGATTATTTCATTTTTGAATGTCATAAAAATTTTGTAATCCAGCGTGGAATAAAATAGTTCTCGCTATTAAACGTTATTATTCTTGGATCACCTTTTTGCCAGAACGTTAATAAAAACTTCGCAAATGGCAGCAAATCATGAAAGTTCGGATAGAAAGGAAGGAATCTCAACTGTTAAATTACATAAAATTACATATGACCGTCTGTGTGCCTTTTTGTCGCCCGCCCTATCCTCCCGTCATCGATCCTTTTATTACCTTTTCTGCGATTTCAGAAGTCCTCGAAGAGTTATAATTGCCAACGGGGGAACGTGGAAAATCGCTGTCTTCACCGTCCAACATGAGCTTTTTCACGATCGGTGAAACTTATCACTCGTTATTACTCGCATTCCACGGGTTGGTCTGTAATTAGACCAGATGCTTCGAGAATTACGACGGTTCGACATCCAAGAATGCGTCAGAAATGCTCTTTCCGCTCGATCGAAAATTGCTTTAAAGCGTAAATACCAAATATTTGGGATACCGTTATTGTGAAGCATGAAACAGTTTCGTAAATCATTAATTCTATGTTATCGCAAGATTAAAGCGAAATACATATGACACATACTATTAATTTTATAATACAGAAATTGTATAATATTAATATAGTAAAAGGCTAAATTTGTAGAACACAAGTCGCAATCTATGAGAACTAATAGGGTTTTTTATTGTACAAATAGCTGAGAAAGCATGTTTATTAAGCTAGAATGCCAACATGGGCATAATTATTCCAAACATATGGAGGATTTAATACTCTTTATGTGCTAATTTGTTGCTTTAATCTTGGTTTTTGTGCTCTAGCCGTTTAGCGAAAAATGAGTTTTCTGCTGATTTTTAATAAAGTTAGAATGCGTATTAAAAAAACACATAATTAACACAAAATTATAGTGTTATTATTTTTTTTAATGCACATTCTGACTTTATTAAAAGTCAACAGAAAATTTATTTTTCGCTAAACAGCTAGAGCACAAAAATTAGAATTAGAGCAACAAATTAGCACATAAAGAGTACTAAATCCTCCATGTGTTTGGAATGATTATGCTCATGTTGGCATTCTAGTTTAATAGACATTGAGAAAGCGAGCGTTTATAAGCGTATTATTCTTTAACAAATTAAATTCTCATAGCAATTTAATTTGCAGTATGCGTGCGCGCTGCAATGTTTATAGAAACATAAAATTTCATTAGTAAAAGAGCAAAATTTATCGAAGTCATTAGCTTAATGCCTCAATTTAAGTTTTGAGTGATCCTCGTAATTGAATCGCGTGCGCGCGAATTTATCTTCGTATCAAATGTATCTTCGGAGAATTCGTCGTTATAATTACATCAGCAGTTGCTTTTATATTCACACTTGATTGAGGCTAATTTTCCCGCGAAGTGATAGTCAAATTACGATCGCTAGTAATTTTATATTAAATAGCACGGTGGACTGCAACTCATCAGATGACCGATATTCAAATTGCACATCAGCTAATTAATCGTATCAGCTGCCAATCTCATTAGACATCTCATTAAATTTGTTCTTTGTAACCACCATTGGATGTGCACGAACATTTCGTTCATTAAACTATCAATAACGTACTTACGAGTCGAAGCAATCTGGATTTGTTTCGCTCCATTTAAATGTATATCAAGTACAGTTTAAATTTTAAATTATCCTCCTTTTAGATAATGCGTTCTCTTTCTTGAATAAAATAAAGATAGAATCAAAAAATAAAAGTAAATGTACTTTGAGAAGAAAATTGGAATTTTTGTCTAATCTGATCTGTAACGTTGGAAATGTTAGTCAAGCATTTGTTTCAAAATTGTCTCAGGATAAAAAAATGAATTTCCCCTTGTAGATAATTCAATCGTATTATTGTACATATACTATTATAATTTCTTTTAATTTTCTTTTTTCCAAGTTTATAATAATTTTAAAGAATAATTACGTGTATGACGCCACAAATATTTGCCTTATGAAAAATTACGTGAAACACTATGCGCGAAAAGATCTTGCACATTCTCAAAATAGCCTGTCATTGAAGTGTCGTCATGCATAGGAGAGGACTTGCCTCGAGCTCGAGAGGTGCACAACCCTTCGACGAGGTCGTTCGCCATATACAATGGATAAAGAAAATATATCATGTCTCGTTCGCTGTAAATAACTTTCAGTGTGTAACAGCAATTAAACTGTCACGTGTCTCATATAGTTATTAAATAAACTCGGATAAGAGCAAATAGAATATGAAAGAATAAATTTACGAGACACAACAAGAATGTTTATATTTTGAAAAATTAAATTATATCTAAATATTTTTTTCATATATTAATAATTATTCTATTATTTTTCAGAGCACACCTGCAAAGATTTTCGATGCACTCAGAATGAATTCTGCATCGAGACGGATCTCCTTTGTGACGGCGTGAATCACTGCGGCGACGGATCTGATGAGGCCACTTCCACCCTTTGTGCCAGTAAGTTCTAATTACTACGAGTTTGTTATTTTTTCAAAACTTAATCCTTAGTAATTTTGAGTATAAATAAAATCTTATATTTGTAGGATATTGCTTTTATCTTTATAATTATTTTTGTTTGAGCATTTTATGTTGTAGGTATAGCTGAGACAGAATCAAAACTCTCTAGGTGACAGCGAATAGTCGAGTGCGAGTCGTAAGGAGGCAACACAATTTTTATTTTGACAACACTGTTCCTATCTTGAAGATTCCCTCCCTGCATGGCGTATACGTTTGTCACGAACATTAATATCTGGTTTACATTTCGGTTTTAATCCCAAAATCCTAAAATTCAAAACTAATAGAAATTATATATTAAAATTAATAAATTTCGATTAGAACTAGCAGCGTTATTGACTGAATTTTAGGATCTTAAGAGTTAAGGTCCGAAGCATAAACCCTACCTATATTCTTTATATTCTACTTCTAAACATATTTGAGTCTATATCTCAAATAGTATGTTTATTCATAGACGTGCCTCAACATTATTCTACAACATTCAGATTTTAAAAATAAAAAAACCTCGCTGATATTATTTACAATTAAAATATTAAAAAAAAATAATTTATATTTTTTTACAATCTCCCAATTTTGTTAGAAGAATAATCATCATTAGACTCGTTAATGACGTTTCGTTGTACACTATTATTTCGAATGCTAATAATCAGCACATAGATGGTAATGATGTAGTTAACATGAAATCAATATGTTCGTCATCAAGTCATATCATATATCAAGGAACTATGTGTACATATCTTTTGAGACACGCTATATTTAACGAGTAAAGCGATTTAGATCATAAAGATATAATCTCACATGATTTAGTATGGTTAGTCATGCGGTAGTTTTAAATAACGAAAACAGAAAACGTAAAATGTTTCACAAATATTTTATACCACCAAAAGTTAGTCGTATACATAATTTTAATTCGGGGTAAAATAGTTAAAATGAGATAAATTTGTATAATTCGTAAATCACATTTACAGAAATAGTTTTATAAAACATAGTTGCGGACGCGTAAGTAGTAATTTTATTTATTAAATAAATAAAATAAATTTCGTGTCACATTTATAGAGAGTCAATTTTAATTTCTTTAAATAAATAAAAATTCAGAGTTGTCATTTTTTCTTATTTTATGGATAATTGTACTTATGCATCCAGTGATTCATCAAGTGCTTTATAATGGTAAAATATAGTGATTTCTCTGATCCTTGTACGTACATGAAAATTGTTATTTTGTGGGAGAGAAATGGTTACGAATGCGCACAAACCACATTTACATAACATTTATGTTAATGGTTGACAGTACGCATGCGTCAACATCTGAAGAGGTTAATTGCCACATGTATTCATTACATATCCAAGAGTAACTCGCAATAGCGACGGAGTAAATTACAAACTTGTCGCATAATACTCGCGCTTGCAGGAATTTAATACATCTACTGATATTTTATTAATTCGCCGTATTCCTGTCACCATTTTCGGCTGCAATTAGCAGACATTCGTACAATTCATATAATTATATAACAAGTAATATTACATAAACAATGTAGAAAATTATGTACCTTGATTTCAAATAATTTTTAAATACAAGTGACATAATACAACAGCTTTGCCATAATTCTGTAACAATTAAAAAAAATTTTCAGTAATTTATTATTTATTTACTTTACGTACTTTTCTCTATAATTTTATACACCGCACTTTGTGTTTTATAAATAATAAAGCAACCACTACATTTACTTTATCATTATCGCAACGATCATCAATTTATTCCAAAATTAACGTTGTCCATAAAGTTTTTTTATTACTGGCGTTATTTACGGATATCATGCCCTATAAAGGTAAAACATGAAATACATATTGTTATATCGATTTCCTGATTCCAATGAAAGTGCACGTGTGTCAGGTATCAGATACTTTGATGAACGCGCTTAATTATCAAGTGTTTGAACTTCAACAAGAAGTTTGCCCTATTGTCTTTTACTCTTTTCTTTATTGTCTTTACAGTATGATACGCTGTTATTTACAAAAAATTTCCTTTTTCAATAAAAATTTTAATGAAAATCAAAACTGTGTAAATATTTCGCTTTATAAAGTTAATTAAAATTATAGGATGATTATATTATGTCATGTAACTTTTATTATGAAATTCTCTCACTCGTTTAAATATTTTTTCCGCATTTTTTATATAATTTTATGGCTTTAATTTATAAATTAATTAATTTAGTAAACTTTACGGAATTATTGACCCGCGTTTTTCCCCTTTTATCTATTTTTATTATATTTCGATCGATTTAAAACGCGTCTCTAGTTTTAAAGTTCAACTTTTCTAATGAATTTCATTTTTCCATTGTAATTACAGATTCCGAGGCGTCGACGATCCTAGGCATGCAGACTACTTGGTTCGCCATCGCCCTTGTTTTTCTGATACTCAGCATGGGCGGCCTGGTAACGGCGGCGGTTCTCTGCTTTTGCAGGCAGCGTGTTCCTACCCCGAGGCACCCCCATAACGCGCACAATGCTCAGTCTCATCCCCCAGTCAGCTTCCCATGTGAGTCACAAAAAACCACCCTTACACGTACACGATCGATTCGCATCGTTGTCGCTGTCGCTGCAACCACTCTTAGTCGGTTGCAACCTTCCTACTGTTAGCCAGCTCGTTTTCTTTGTATGTGGTTTTACTTCGCGTACTATTACTTCAAAATACAGGGAGAGAACTTTTTTATTCTCGTGACTGGTTGTGTAATATCATTACTCTAACAGTATTCTATAGTGACACGATCTACGATTGCACAAGAATACGTAAAAGTAATTTTTGTAAGTTGAGTGATCAACGTTAATTACTTTTATTATAATTGCAAAGCCCTAAGTTTTTCTAGAATATTTTAATGCAAATATTATATAGTTGATACTAATTTTCAGGAAATATTGGGTTGAAGAAAAAGTTCTGCGTTTTTTATTAGCTTAAAATTATAGGTATACAATATTTTCGTTAAAACTAAACAACATTTAAATTTAAGGAAAGGTTTTAAAACTTGAATTCTCTATTTTCAAAAAGTTTTTATAATTTTTTAGTTCATATGAATTTGGTAATATTTACATATACATAGGAATTTTTATACATATAGAAAACTACAGGCTGAAAAGAAGGGAAATTTTTCTTCTCACTTTTTGTGGGTAAGTTGTGTACTAAAAAAAGAATTTGCAAAAATTTTCGACTACCTAACATAAAAGCTTAAAGTTTTTCCTAAAAATTTGTTTCTAAAAAATGTTCCTGCGATTTTTTGTTCCTGAGTTATTCGCGAGTTAAGTAAAGAAACATTTTTATTTTAATTGCTTATAACTCCGTTAAAAATCATTGTATCGCAATTAAAAAATCAGATTCTTAAAGCTGACACTTTGTTCTATCGAATGGTATATAATCGCTAATATTTTTAATATACAAATGTAAATATATGTACCTATAATACAATTTTAAGCTAATAAAATATTAGCAGAGGGAGAGAGAGAGAACTTTTCCTCCAATCCACTACAGTATAATCAATTGCATGAGATAGCTAATTTCGAAAATTAAAAAATGAGTTATTTTTAAATATACATAATATTCTTAAGAAAAAACAACTTCTTTTTATCAAAAATTATATTTAATTATTAAAATAATGAAAAGTTAAAACAACTGCAAAAAATAAAGTTTAAACATTTATAAATCATCATATGTTGTCAAATTATTGTATATTAATATTAAAATCACATTTTTCAATTTCTATTATATTCTTTTTCTTTACATCAAATATGTATTTATGGTAATTCTATTTCCATAACACGGACTATATTAATAGTTATAAAATTAATTAATTTTCCTCTGAATATATGTTAGTAAGCGCATTTGGCCGATTTGCTACAAAGTTGCGCCCTGCACGGGTCGAGCCAATGATTAAAGAACGCACGCGTTCGCGATTACGGGCATAAAATATTCATTTATTTATACTATCACACGTGCACATCAGAGCACCATTATGTCTCACCATCATTATATTACGTAGAAAAGAGGTCATAAACGTCAGTACGTTATTCCTGACTAGTTCGATATAAAATATTACATATCTGTCGGCATATTCTTCTAAATAAACGTTTTAAAACATCATTTTATCAGAAGTCGATATCGTTTTTCATAAATGAACAACTTATCAGTGGCATTTCATTGCATAGTAATCAAATGGAATAGTGTTATATTATATTTAGCACATAATCTAGTTCTAGGACGTTGTACTAATTCTTCGTTTCAATCAATAATTAATTGTTTAACTTCGAAGATTTTATCGTAAGGAGTATATTTTATTGTATAAATATGGCAGGGTTTTTGTATTTTTAGTAAATGCTTTCTACTTTGCAAATAAACTTTTAAAAATATTTCTTCTTGACAATTTATAAGTGGAAAGATTGATAAAAATAAAACAAAGAATTCTATTTTCGGTCAAAACGAATATTGATATTTCTGTTATCTGATTTATTCGTATCAATTTAATTCCTATTAATTATTTAAACACGTCTTATCGACAAATGAGACATTCTGTCATTAGTTATTGATTATTGCAATATATTTCTACTCTAAAGATCAAATTGATAAGACGCTCGTCCCAAACAGTTGGGAAAATTCCAAGTTCAAATTCTGGCTGGGTAAAAGTATTTTTCAATAATAAATAAATTTTTGAAAAATTTTAATTAACTATTATGCTTATTAAACTAAAAATCAATGTAATTTGTAATGTTAATTTCAATTTCAATTTATGATTACATTTCAAGTCAAATCGGCAACTTTATATTTATTAGAATTGTTTTTATTTATTTATTTAATTAGAACTGAATTTATTAGAATCGAACATTATTGTAAAATTATATATAAATATTATTAAGACCAAGATAGGCTTTGATTAAAAATAAGACTTTGTTCTTACTTGAAGTTATATTAATTTTATTTATATATATTAACATAAATACATAAAGTGACGAGGATCTAAAATTCTTGAGTATCGTAATTAATACATGGTATACGTTATCTATCAGCACGAGTGAGGATCAACAACGAATTATATATAATAATGAAGGATTGTTCCGGATTCAGAATTATGATAATAATTGCAATTTACGAAATGTTCCATTATCATGAACCGTCATTTTGCATTGTGTGCCGATATTCGATTATGCTGATCTGATTCGAACACCCCGTATGTAGTGTTTACTTTTCATTTGATTGCGTAGCGGTTTACCTCGTACTTCTGTGCGTCATCTCGTTCCATGACAACGATTCTAATTAATTAATTTAATTAGATTTGACAGATGCATTTGAATCTGCATCTGTCAATCAAATGAATTCGTGGTTGACCATTAAATTCATTTGCAGGCGGAAGGTTAAATAACCCTCGCGATTATTCAAAATGTTTCGCGGCTTCATTATTTATGTAACTTAATTATATTAAATTCTTGTTGCATATCAAATAATAGTTTCATGAGATAAATTTCTTTATTGTTGGTTAGTCTTCACTTATTATTATAAATTATTAAAAATAAATTTGGTATAGATGTGAAAAAAGTTTTTTAAAATATATGCGGTTTCTCTTTGAAAATCTTTTACACATATTTTTGCTATAATCTTCAAATTTTTCTTTCCCGCGAAAGTTTATTACGGAATTAGTACTAAACAGTAACGATAACTTCCTCACAAGATTGTGCAAATACAGAGAACAATAATCCTTACGCTATATAAAGTATAATCAGATTTGCGTTCTCCATTTATGCGTATGTAATTTCTATATTTAAATAACATGTTTTCGCAATATAAATTAATTGTACAACGAATCGCATCATTAGTATCGACATCTTGTCTTTCTAGCCACGCTTTTGATGTCTCATTGTTGTTTATTTTCTACACATAAGACTCTTTCAGTGTAAAGCCTGTTTCTTCTTCAGACAAAAGCAGCGTCTTGGTCTTTAAGAGTATATAAATAAACATGTAATGGGGACAAACATCTCATGACGCGAATTCATGACATCGCTGCGCGATCCTGCGACCTTTCGATACAGAACAAAGCTGGCCTAAATATCTGCGGTCAGCGCTGAATTAATCAGGAACCATCGACGCGATTGAATCCTACTCGCTACTATAATTAAGCAGCGAGATGATCGATAAACCATTGCGATATTCCACCGCTTACAACGTCCGTTATTTATTTACGCGTAACTGCTATTGCATATCGGCGGCTGCGACGGCGCAACGAAATTAGAGAATGGAGGCAGATGAAAAAAAAAAGAGAAAAACCTGAACAAAACGAGCATTGGTGTTTTCATTAAGCGATCGAACGCCATACCGCCGTTCGGTCCACTCGCGCTCGTTTTATAATATCGTTTGGCTTTCTGCGATTTCAATCGGCTAGCATTTCCAGCGCGCAGTATCGTGATGTTTGCCGCAATTCCATTCGGTATATCGCTGTTGTTTTTTGGCCCCACGGTAATCGATAGCAAATAGCGCGTGCCTCGCGGCTTGTTCGTCCCGTTTGTTTATTGCTTGGGGGGGGGGGGGGGGGGGGGGGGGGGGAGAGAGAGAGAGAGAGAAAGCAGAGAGGAGAGAATGAGAACGAGAGTGGAACTCGCACTCGCGTGTTTAAATTAGTTTAATATACGAGTCGAGAGTCTATACATCTCTGCCTCTCTGGCTGCGTCGCGTTGGAAATTCGATTATCCGAAACAAACGGTAGACGAGCACGACGGATAATTAATTCCTGGAGAAATGCGCGTTTTCGGCTGATTAATGGAACAACGCGTCTGTCTCCGCGAGCGTAGTTTTGCACACAGATAGTATGAACCAGCACCTTAAGTGATATACTTTCGGCGAATTATTGACGCAGACTATCGACGATGGTGCTACATTAACGCGTGTTGAGTAGAATTCATATCAAAAGCGAATGAACAACTTGTTCCATTGAGGTCAGATTTTTTATTATGTATAGTATACATAGTTAACTTGTGACTAAGTTTAACCTAATATTTCATTCAATGAGCTTCATCCATGACATCACCACACATAAAGCACACATTGGGTAAAACATCAGATTAAACCTAACAAATTAATTAGATAATGAAAAAAATCGTGCTTAAGTGACGGCGTTATTCACATTGAAGAAAATTCACTCATTGTTCGCGTCTAATTGTTTGATTTAAATTTGGTTTTGTATAAATAATTAATCTGTTTTTTTTACGGTACGTGCTTAATAATCGAAATTAAATCACGACACTTGAGAAAAGCAATTTTTTTAAATAATCTTAATACTCTTTCTATGAAGCGCAATAAAGCGTTTTTATTTGTTAAATTAAGTCTTCATAAATAGCAAGTATCATGTGTATTTTAAAATTTGATTTAAAATCATTCGAATTTATATTTATATAAGACAATTTTAAATTTGGATAAATATTATATCTCTCTCTATATCTTAATAAGATTTGTTTGATCAATCAACACAATATTTTTGCCTGCTTTTTCGCGAATGGATAATTATA